CTCAGGAGAGATGACTGGGACCAGAACTGTTTGGGGAGCACAGGCTTCATGGAGCTGTATTCTCTAACAGTTTTTTTTCCAACCATTTTCTCTTCAGGATGGCTTGGTCACAGGTGTGTTTGTTCAATTGTACTGACTTCCTGATTTAGAGTACTTGCTGACTTAGTGCCAGTACAACTCAATAAGGGGTACATCTTTTGCTGCTGCTCAGTTTATAAAAGCGTGGGAAGATGTTAAATCACATTTTGGCCTTTGCACTTGTTTCTCTCTGACTCCAGAAAGTTGCTCTGTTGTTATTTGTCTTTTTGTTTGAGAAATGGAGGGCAGTGATCACCAGCTTCATGGAGAGTTTGTGATAATTTGGAGGTGAAAGCTGCTTGATTTCGTAGTGGGATTTTTGGCATCTTTCTGTTGGCAGGTAATGAGAAGAGCAAGAGATGAAATCAAACAGACAAAATCCAAATCACTTCAGGCTCCACTGAGGCTTTAACAATACCACTGTAGTGCATTCATTTTTTTCTTAAGGATATGTAACAACTTAGAACAAGAATTATAATGGACAAATATAAATTTGAAGTTTTACTCAGCACTGTGCAAACTCCTTTCCTGTGCTTGGATGCTATTGCTTCTCACTGTGGTCTGCCAACCTCTGGTTCAGCTTCTCACTGTATCTCCCTGTAAAGTTCAGGGTGATTTCAGGGTTAAAATGAAGCCCTGTTTCACTTCAAAGCAAAGCAGAAGTTAGAGTTCAGATGGACCTCTTGAATTTCCTGTTTGAGCTGTGGTTATCTCACACAGCATTTCAATATTTATTTCAACTGCAAATGCTTTTAGAAGGATGGAAAAGATCTCTAAGATCCACTCCAAGTTCACCCTATCCCCTCCATACCCACTGGTGGCATCCCTCAGTGCCACAATTCCACAGTACTTGAACACCTCTGGGGAAGGTGACTCCACCACCTCCTTGGGCAGCCCATTCCAATGCTTGAAAGAGTTTCAGAGAAGCTTTTCCTAACATCCAACCTGAACCTTCCATGGCACAACATAAAGCCATTACCTCCCATCCTATTACTGTTACCTGGGAGAAAAGGCTAATCCCCATCTTCTTACTGCCTCATTTCAGGGAGTCGTAGAGAGCCTCCCTTGTGCTTTCTCTTCTCCAGACTGAATAGTTCCCGTTCCTTGGTTGCTCCTCATAAGACTTGTTGCCCCCAGAGCCTTCGGAATTTCCCAAGCAACCTCCAGCTGCCCGGCTTTGACTTTTTGGCACTCTCTCGTTCCTCTTCAGGACTCAATCCATAGCTAAAAATTGTAGTGTTCATCTGCAATGGTGAGAAATAATTTGGTTCACGCAGATTTTAGAGCATGAAAGATGGAAACACAGCAAATTAGGGAGTTTGAGTGTTGATTTGATAAGTACCAGAGTCAAATCACCTTCTTTCTTACAGTTAAAATGAGAGCTTCCTCTGAGCTGCTGCTGATGGCTGTTCAGCACTTAGAATCTGCTTTCTTCTGTTTGTGCAGCTGACTTGGGCTCGCCTGCAAGCAAAGCTGTGTTTGGTGCGTGCATGACCCAGCACTGCTGCACTTGTGTAGGAGGGCACAAAGTAATTGTATGTTATTAATTACTGGCTGACAGATTAGATTTACAAGAAATTGTCATACCTTATAAACCCAAATAATCATTTTTCACAAAAAAGAAGAATTTATTATGTTATTAACTATGTTCACAGTAGGTTTTCCAAAGTGAAATCACTAACTGCTCTAAAAATTTTATTGTGCACTTTATTTATTTCTCCCTCCAGTATGGAAATGCCTCAAAGATGTATTTTGGTGTTCTCTACTGATATCATTTTCCATGCACACAGAGGAATATTTGTATTTGCTTATTCAGTCCTCTGTGGTTTTGAAACCTTTGTCATTCATGTACTGTAAAAGACAAATGCTCTCTTCTCCTTTCTGCTCTCAAAGGTATGAGACGAGAAGCCCAACAAGATTTTGATTCTCAGAGGTTATATGGGAAGAACCAGTGCCTTCTCCATGTCTGTGGCAGCGTGAAGGACGAGAATGAACACAAAGGCAAGTTAGTGGCTGTCAAGGCAACTTAGTGCTTAGGACACACTGAAGGGGACTGGATTTACCTCATATGAGGCATCCAGTCTGAGACAGCTGTTGCTCTGGGATCCCTGCACAGTCAGTGGAGAGACAGCTGCTTCTGGGGGAAGTGACACTTTTCTATGGATTTGTGGGATGTGGTTAGTGGGCATAGATGGGATGGATGATGGTTGGACTAGACAATATTAGTGGTCTTTTCCAATGTTAATGATTCTATGATTATGTGCGGTCATCAACATTTCTACCTAAGTATACAAAGCTAGGTGAAAACATTTCTATATCTCATGAGAGATAAGTGATATGAAAATAAAATACCAAACTTCCTTTTTTTTTGTTGGTTATGCAGCTGACTATGGAAAAGACCTGGGAAGGGGATTAAATATTTTAAAGTGAGAGCAACTGATTTCTTACCTCTTCAAGAGGACTGTAAAATCTCAGTGTCAGAAAATGAGGCTCTGGTGCTTGCAAGAGCAACTTTAAGGCTTTTGTCAGAACAGTACATAAACAGAGACCTGCATATCTGTTGTTCATACAACAATGAATATTCCCCAGGTGCTTAGTGAAGGGTTCTTATCTCCTACAGTGTATGGAATAGTTCTATGAACAAAGTGCAGGAATGTATGGCCAGTCGTGTGCTTGTCAGAGCTGTTCTGTTCTCTCATGTCCTTCTGATAAAGATGGGATGTAGTGGGCTATGGTAAGTACTGCTGGAGCTGGGGGTGTTTGAAAAGGGGCAAACATCTCTGACTGACAGTACCTGCTGACTCCAGCCTAAGAAAGTTTATGAGATTCCCTTTGAAACTGATTGCATTTGCCAAATTCAGCCTGCTTTCTTTTTCATTCCTGTCAGATCCTGAGGGACTGTGCTTTCCCTGAAGCCAGCTGTCATTGTGAGGTGCCAAAACAGGAAGAGTAATGAAAGTGTACTCATCCTATCTCACATGTCAGGCAGAGGAATGCGCGGCAGAAGGAGATGATGGCAAGTATTAAATCCTTCATGAAAGATGCTTAGGGAAGCAGTAAGGCCCTTTTGCAAGCAGCTGAGTGCTGTGCCTTAGTAGAGGTCCACAGACATGCCTTTGCTCACTGTGTGGGGGCTGCAAGCGTGCTCTTGGGTTGCTTTTGTAAGCAGATGAATTCTGAGTTTCATTTGTCAAAAAAAAAAAAAAAAGAAAAAAAAAAAAGAAAAAATTGCATTGAACTTCATGCTACTGACAGCATCCAGAAGTTATTTGAAAATTAATGGGAGATCAGCAGCCTACACAAACATTGTAATCTGGCTACTGTCAGCTGCTGGGTGGCTTTACATGAAAGCATGGCAGAATGTTTTTAGAAGAAGAAAAATCTGTCTGTTTTTTAAATCTCCTATGCTGCTGCACATGTAGTATTTTTAGCCCTGAATCCATCGGTCGTGAATTCAAATGTTCTGATGTGCAAACATACAAATACTGTGAATTCACTGAAAGCTGCTATGAGCAGAGGTCTTTAGTGTGAGAATGAATTCATTCGATGTTCTCTCATAAAGAGAGTTGTTTTTAACGTTGTTAACACTTTTTAAAAGCCAAAATGGTGACAATACTGCTATATTGTAGTAAAAAGAAATGAATGTTGATTAACGCAATTTAAACTGAACTGTCATGTTACGCCACTTGGATTTCTTCTGAAAGATTCCAAAAGCAAGAAAGACTTCTATATTACACAAATGCATGGATGTTTATATTTTAATAAATTCTTTTTTCTAGCTGTCTTGTTCAAGGCTTTCTTCATCTGTATGCATGAGCCTTTCATCCTTGGTAAAATTCTCACACAGTAGCTTTTATCCAGCAAAACTTGTCCTTAGAGTAACCCAGCACATCTCACCATTTCATTCCTATCCTTCTATCTATGTCCACGTTTTCATTGTGGCATTAACCTTGGGCAGATGCTGTAGGGCTTTCTGGAGATGAGATGGTGGATGTTTAATTAGATTGTATAACTTTTATGCTTTGATGTGTCCAAAGTGTTTAAAAACTTGCATCTGCAAAACCTGCACTGAAACTGGGCTACTTTCAACTGCTTTTCTTAATATGTCTGTGTAAACTAAAAAGTTATTTATGTTACTTCTTTGCATTTTCCTTTCTCTTTATGCGCATATAAAAGAAAATAGCATGCTCTGGCATTTGGAACTTTTTTGAAGACATAGAGACTGAGACTGTGCCTCAATGCGTGGCGTGTTTGAGTGGTCTTGAGTGGTTTTGAGTAGATCCTTTGTGGTGCTATTTACAGAATCACAGAATGGCCTGGATGGTAGGGGACCTCAAGGATCATGAATCTCCAACTTCCCTGCCACAGGCAGGGACACCAACCTCCCCATTTAATACTAGACCTGATTGCTCAGGCCCACATTCAACCTGGTGTTGAACACTGCTAGGGACATCCACAACCTCCCTGGGCAGCCTGTTCCAGCACCTCACCACTCTCATAGTGAAGAACTTCCCCTGACATCCAACCTAAATCTTCTCTCTCTCAGCTTAAAACCATTTCCCCTCGTCCTGCTGTTATCAAAGAGTTTCAAAGAGTTGACTCTCCTTGTGTTTGTAGGCTCCCTCTACTGAAAAGCCCAGAAGGTGAGAGCAAACTTAACAGTGTTTGCTGGGATTTTTATGGAGCTATTGCAGTGGGATAAAGTCCAAACTTCTCTAGACTTCGGTAGCAGAAATAGTAGAGGGGATGCTATAGGAAGTGCTGTATGTTTTTCTCTGTTTACAGTGGAAAAGTGGCAAAAATGAGTGTATCAGTTGAACAAGAGATCGTTGCGTTTACTTCCTACTATATGTGACAGTAATGTGCCATAATTTTGCCGTGACAATGACTTTCTACTTCTCGGGCTACATTTTCCAGATCCCAATTTGGCTGGACTGCAATCACACCCCAAGTCTGTCTTTCCTCATTGTGCTCTCAAGGATGATTATCTTCCAGAAACTTCAGCAGGACTGAGCGTATACTCAAGGATGAGCATACATTTAAGTGCTATTCCAAAGAGTGACGCTGCCTTGAATCAGGGCAAGAGTGTTCTGGGGAAGGATGTCTGCTTCTGCTCTGCCACATCCATTTGATCTGCAGTTTTCTTTGTCCCTTTATTGTGGAAGACCTTCTTTTCAGGTATGTGTGCAGTGTCCCCGCAGAGCAGCAGCATGGTTCAGCCTATGGTTCCAGTGCTCTGTGCCCTCTCTCTTGGTGCACTAAGCTTCCTACAGATGTTTCCTTTCCAAGAGCTGTAATGTAAATAACTAATAATAACAGTGTTATTGCTGGGGGAAAGAATCCTTCTTGTGTAAGTTCACATCAGATCGTGAGATGTCTGCAAACTTGAAAATTAGATCAGGGAGAAAAAGCAGAAGCAGTAAGCTTATTAGATTCACAGAGACAGTTTTGTGCAAGCTTTCCATGCTTCCTGGGAGAAGAAATATTTTCAAAATGGGTTTGATTGCTAATATGATTATGGCAGCTCGGAAGTTAAAGCGAAACATGAAATAAATGAAGGCTTTTGGAGTTATGAATTAATTAGAAAACTAATTAGGATGGATAAAAGAAATGCAAGGCAGTGAATTGTTTTTCTTATCTCAGAATAAGAACATTGAAATTGAAAGGATGATATTAAACAAAGCCTACAAACAACTGGAGATTATGTTAGAGGAAAGATAAGTACTAACAGGGATTTTTTTTTTTTTTTTTTTTTTTTTTTTTTTTTTTTTTTTTTTACATCGTGGTATGGCTTTTCAAAAATATTTCCAAAGAAAGAGAGACAGCTCAGAGGAGCGACTGTCTGCAGGCCTTGGGCAGCTAGGAGAGAAATGCTGAACAGACTGCATTGGTGGGGACAGCAGTGGGACTGGTAGGCCCTGGCTGCTGCTGTTTTCATGTCTACTGCACTGGGGCATCTGGGTGGGCACTTTGCTGCCCTGACCCCATGCTGTCAGCTTGTCTTTTGGGAGCCTGCTCAATTGAAATGGCCAAGAGTGCCTTGCAGAATCTGGGCATTCTAAACTACTCTGCTCTAGAGAGGCTAATAAATGCTTTACTTAAAATATAAGGCATGTCGCTGCATTACATTTCAAAACCAGGATGAACACTAAGCCCAAATGATCTAACCATAAAGGGGCCCTGCCCTGAAAAGCTGGAAGCAGGTTAAGAATTGAAGAGGTATAAAGTGATCATTAACATTAATGTATTTTTTTCTATTGCCTACATGAAAATGAGAACTGCAGAGGTGATATATAATTTTCATATTGCTTAATGTGTTACAGGAAAGTGTTCAGGTTCTAGTGGGGGAAAAAAAAAACCAACACAGATAAAGAAAGCAGAATAAAAGAGAAAATGAGTATGCTGCTGAAATACGCTGCAGGACTGGGTGATCACAGCCTGGAGCACAGGCAGCTTTCTGGCTCTTACTTATTGAATGACCTGGGAGCTAGCGATTCCTTGTTGAATTGTGTGCTAGTGAGCAACTTAAATGTAAAGAAAGGAAGACAATTTCCTAAAGTATTTTCTCTCTAAGACCTCTGTGACCAGTGTGTAAACAAAGTATTCAAGGAGTTATGAATTGCCTATATTTTACAGAAGATAACAGGTGAAATAGTTGCAGTGGTGCCTGCAAACAAATAATCTGATTCAAACCCAGGCTGGGAACTGGGTTAGTGTGGTTAGTGTGGTTAGTGTGGGGAGTTAGGTGCTGGGTTAGCACTGGGGACCATTGGTTTGGCCAAGGCCATGTGTGTAGCTAACAGAAATGACACGAGCCCTATGGGTTTTGCTTGTGCATAACAGCATAATGAACCTAAGAAAACACAGATCCATTTCTGCTGCATATTCCATGAATAGAAAGGCAAACACCATTTTCATAATATGAATGTTTATTATTTTGTGAATATTTTTCTCACTATTTGTCTGTCCCTGTTGAATGTTTCCGCTCCTATATAGAGGCAGATGCTAATTTTATTATCTCCTCTCAACAGCAACTACCCTCCAGTGGTAACTGCTCTATGGCACACCTGATGTGACAACTACAGGTCATGGCAAGGTGAGAGCCGCCCTTCTTGTCATCGAAAAGGAAACATTACTTTTCACAGAGCACCTAATTGCTGGGTGGAACTTACTGCCTCAAGATGCCATAGGAAGCTGACACTTGATTAAATATAAGTAAAGAATGTATGTCCACAGGGACCATTAAGGACGTGGTTATTGGGCATGATGCTGATGGGTCAGTGGTTGGACTAAATGATTTTAGCAGTCTTTTCCACTCTGACAAATCTGCATTTAAAACTCTTCTGCGTTTAAGAAACAAAAAATACCTTAAGCTTTAGAAATTCCTCTTTGGGAGGTGCAGGAGTGTGGGTCAGTAGCCAGGGGTATGAATCCTGACATCTGGGTAAATTGTGTAATGTGTTGACTCTTTCATTTTCCTCCATGCATGGCTGAGAAGAGCTGCTCAGACAGACCAGGCAGGCTGCTGGCAACTGAGTGCTGAACATTGTGCTTTGTGTTTCCTGGGTAAGCAGCTGTACACTCAGGAGCAGCATCTGCTTCAATTTCATCACACACTGAAGTGCCTCCCTTTGGTATTTCAAGTGCTATAAATGAATTACAGTCAATAATCAGAGGAGCCTGCTAATTCTCTCTAAGTTATTGGCAGACTTATTTTTGAGCATATTCAAAATGTTATCATAGGGATGTCATTTCTAAAGTAGAGGGAGTCAGCAGGGGTGTCAAAAGGTGCTCTGCAATAGTAGAAGTAGAAGATCATGCTGCGCTGCAGTTTAAGATAAACCTGATAGAAGAATACCATTTTGGAGAGGTTAAAGAGATTGATATGTAAGGTCATGGCACCGTGAGAATATCCGTCCTGTTTCCATAGACCCTGGTACTGCTCCCAGGCACTAGAGTGGAAAAATTAATGAAGACATGAGTGAATTTATTTTGGGAAAGGAAAGAGAAGGTCAATCTGAGGAAAATCCCACACATGATGAAGATGATGAATGAAACTCCTTGCAGTTTTTAAAAAATGGTTTTATTTCATTACAGAGCCTCATAAAACAGCTTATTTCTGTGATAAAGAATTGAAAGAAAACAGTCGAACTTGAAGGAGCAGTGCAAAAAGGGGAATCACTATGGTAAAATATACTATAAGAAGCCAGAGAAACTGAAGCTAGACTTAATTCACAGAAAGTGTCAGTAATAAGGAATGTGGTTCAATAATTGATTTTCTTTCATTTTAGTAAAAAGACCTAGTCATATATTCTAAGAACTGGAGATAGTGAAAGACTTTTTTAACTCTGTTTCTTTGAAGTTTATGATATGTTGATAGTTGCTGTTCAAAATGTATTTTTTCAAAATGTTTAGCCCATAGGATGTAACACAGCTTGGTTTGGTTTTAGTGATTTAGCGGATACAGAAAGAATGCAGGTAACTATTCAAAGCAGTAAGTTAAGTAACATGCCTGAATGAAGTAAATTCTATGATTTCACAAAGATATTGCAGGAAAATGTGATCAAAAACTACTTGGATCAATAGAAACAGTAAAGACAGTCAATGACAACTTTTCACCAATAAAAGCTGTATTCCATTTAAGCTCAGTTACACTCTGAGGAAGAATTCAAATACTGTCTATATTGATTGGATCAAAAACAAATAGGAAAAAGGAGGATTTAACTTCTGAGTTAATATTTTTGGCCATGCAAACCAGTATTTTCTGATCATAATCTGCACAGTAAGTTTGCCATTGCTAGAACTTCCAGCTCAAAACATGGAGGAGGACAGCATAGGGATAAGGCAGGTTTCTGGAAGTACTTACAGCTCCAAAAATTCCTCAAATGCTAATCTCCAAAAAAAGAGTTCCTAAGGTGTGTGTGCTCACTCTTGGTTTTCAATTGAAAACTACCATAGCAGTAAATAGAATATTTTTCCTAAATTGAGAGCTAGTTACTCCAAAAAAGCATTGTGGTTTTGTTTTGGCTATGGACTAGCCTACTTTATGCTACCTGAGAGCATTTAGGCCTTTTGGGTGACTGAGACCTGGCAATATTAATAGCAGTGATGCTTAATATACCATTAAAGAAGGCTTACACTTGAGCAATAATATAGTGGAGAAATAGTTTCAGGGGCTACCCAAGATATTATAAATAACTTCTGAGAGTAGTATTCTGAGAAATCTGGTAAGTATATCTGAGAGAACAGCTGTAGTGTACTAGCAGTGGCATTGCACAGCACTGGTGAAGTTGCTGGGCACCTTGAGCCTGCTCTTGAACTCCAAAAAGTGCCTTAAACCATGAGAGTGCTGCCTGTCCTTTTCTCAGACTCATTGCAGGGTAAGATGCAATGTTTGGATACAGATTTGTGAAGCGTGTGCTGCAGAGATGCAGGAATTGATTTTTTGGAGATTGGAATACAGGAGATAGGCTCTTTCCCCCTCAATTCACAGATAATGATGTGCATAGTATTTATATGTAACTTGAATACGTATTTATATATAAACACAAGCTGTTTGAATAAACTAATGCTAGAAATCAATGCTAAATCTGTTTAGTGTCAAAATAGCCAAAGTGCTGTTAAATCATCTGCAATTATAATTCATTAGCCTGATTTAAGGTGATACCAAGGGCAGAAGCACTAATTGAATAGCAGACGTGTTTCAAGTGTCTGTGCTAAATACCACAAGAAGAAATCAAAGATTAGGTGCTATGTTCATTTCTTAGTGTTCCTGCTTTGTGCACTTGCCTTCCAACTCTGGACCATTCCTGGCTCCTTAGGTGCCAGATATAGGTTTCTAGTCATTATGTGAGGATGGAGTACAACAGATCTCTTTGGGATTATTTATGTGATTAAAGCAGATAATCAATCATCATGCAAGTCTGAGAATTTAGAGTGATCTTTTTCTGAAGTGCAGTTTGGGAAATCAGCATACACCATCTTAGTATGCACTAAATAGAATCATTTGTGTTACAGACAATGCTAACAAAATCTGTGGTAGTTAATAAACCACAGTGGTTTGCTTAGATTTAAAAATCAGGATTACTGAAAGAGCTGTATAATGTTTATGAATAAAATAGGACTTGATTTAGGAAGCTGCTGCCAACTTGAGACATAGCGATATGGAACAAATCAGCTTCCACTTTCTTTATGTCTGCTAAGTGAAGAGCTTTTTGCACAGTCACATTTACATCTATTTCTAATAGTTCTGTGCAACAGCGTAGCTTCATTTCTAATGATGTGGGTCCCTGTCTATACTGATGTGTTACGTGCATTATATCCATTAAGTAAATTGAGAAATGATGTCCTTTAATTAAGATTAAAAGAAAACAACTAGCATTATTTAGCCTGAGAGCTGGTTCATGCTCTTTTCAGTTCACGTTGAGTGGTAAAGGATCAGGGCTATTCTTTGGACCAGATCCAGAGTAGTAGCAAACTGTCAAAAGCGTGCTATGCGTGCTGCTAAATCCAGACTTACGTTCCTGAAAATCTTTCCTCAGTGTTTGCCTGCCGTGGTGACACCTGAACTGGATGCAGTAATTCTCCCTGTTACCCATAGGGGAGTCAGCAGGAAGCGTCATAAACAATTGTAGGATCACAGAATCAGTAAGATTGGAAAAGAACTCTAAGATCATCCGTTTCAACCATCCCCACCATACCAACTATCCATGTCTCTCAGTGCCACATCTCCGTGGTTCTTGGACACCTCCAGGTACAACGACTGTACCACCTACTAGGGCAGCATGTGCCATCAACGATGTTCTCTTCCCTAGAGATGTAGGGAGACCCAGGCTGCGAGATGGGCCAGGTGCTCATTGCTGAGGTCCATACAAGCTCAGCCCAGAGCCTGGCAGGCCATATTTCAGGATGCAGTCATGTAAGGGCAAACATGATGATAAAGGATTTGTTTCTGCCAGTTATTTCATACCCACTTTTTCTGTGGCCTTTTAAAATACAGTGTTATGCCTTATGAACTTAATTGCAGAGCCGTTAGTTCCACGCAGCGCAATAAGCACTGAGTTAATGGATTGCACATCTCTATGTGATTGTGTCAGTTACAGGTTACTTAGTTACCTTTCTAAGCATTAAATTCCTGAATGTTTCTTAGGAAAGAAACCTCGAAGATATGAAGTCTTCTGAGCTACAGAAAAATTTCAGCTATGAGGAGAGTGCACTTGCCTGACTGCAAACAAACCAACATTGGCATGGAAAATCTAAGAGATAGCTCATTTGTCATTTCTGAGATGACAAATCTAAGAGATAGGTCAAATTTGGGTGAGATTCTAATATACTCCCATCAAAATTGATAAGGAGTATCTCATTTTAGTAGTAATGTTTTTAGACTCACAAAAATAATTTTGTTGAAAAGGTGTATTGAGATGCTAAATCATAACTGAATCTAAAGATAGCATTTGTAGATATTTGCTTTTTCTGCCGTTTTTTTACTTCTGTCATCTTCACAGTGTGTTGATGCCATTCGCTTAGCGTGCTCTCTCCCAGTATTTTCAAACAGAGCAGCACAGTTGTACATCACACTGCCCATTCTTGGTGGAGAGCTGATGCTGGTATTCCAGGGAACCAGGTGAGATGTGCTGTGCATGGGGCAAATGGAAGCTTGATTTGCTGTGGCTCTGCTGTGGTTTAGACCAGAGTTGCCAGGCATGCACTGGGCTCTCTGCTCAGCTGTTGTTTTCCAGCTGGTGGATGAGCAGTGATGCCATTTGGGGGAGAAGTGTTCTAAATTATACACTGTACACAACCTTGAGTGCTTGAGTGTATAGATCTCATAAGCATTTATGCATGTGGCTTTTCTCAGCAAAAAGTTTGGTGTGGGATGAGCTCTATATCAAGTCATCTGCAAGAGAATTTCTATTTTTCCTGCAAAAGAGGGATTCATTTTAGTAATTCTATTAACTTATTCAAATCATTCCTGCCAAAAGATGGAGATAAACCAATAGGGAGAAAACTTGCTTTCACATTTCTAATTTTTTTTTTTTTTTTTTTTCCACAGTTCACTGTGGCTCATATGACAATTTCCTGGGTCATATGAGAGCA